TATTATTAATTATGAAGACCCACAAATAGGTAGTTAATAAAGCCAGCATATATTTCCTAATAAGTACGCGATTAATTTTCGGCATACGACATTACCCCGCGTATAACTTACAAACAGACAATAATAGGATTATAGGATGGTAACTTAAGGTAAATGTAAAAACGCCTATATGAAGACAATCAGTACATGTATAACGTCACAAGTCTCGGTCCAAAAAACCCACTGGCCACCGCCCTCTCTAAGACAATAGCTCCAAACAATGCCGTACGTCCATTGCGTACAGTCTACGTCAAACCTATATATGTATACATTCAAATAATTCCTTCGATATTCAAGCACGTGAGAAAAACGTTGGTTGATTGACAATAGCTTTGTGCTCCAAAGCGTATATCCCGATAAGGTAAACACAGGCTTCGATTTTCATTTTGTATATTCAACGCTTGATAACATTTCCATTGTACAGACCTTCGAAATTATGCTTATAAGATACGGTTGAGATTGCCATCTGCTTCAACCCTGAGGCCCGTTCCACAAAGGTGATCGTAAAGGCCGTAGCGCTAAGATCGCTTTGTGGAACAGAGCCCAGAGCGGTATTCGCTTATATATGTAACGCCACATGCACGGTGATAGCTGATGTACCTGGGCAGCCGGCCACTTCACGTCTGATGTCGGACGTCGGACCCGTGAAGATCCGGGGTAGAATAGGTCTTCAGCAACCCATGCTTGCCGTAAAAGGCGACTATGCTTGTCGTAAGAGGCGACTAACGGGATCGGGTGGTCAGGCTCGCTGACTTGGTTGATGCATGTCGTCGATCCCAATTACGTGAATCGATGCTCATGATATTAATCACTGGATTGTCTGGTCCTGACTCGATTATCTACAGACCGCCGTAATGTAGCTGGAATATTGCTGAGTGCGGCGTTAAACAACAAACCAACCAACCAACTGATGTCTGCTCAATGTCTTGGTTTCGAGATGTGACATGTTCAGAGTCGGTGAAATATATAAGGAACGCACATCCATACATACAGACTCCCTTAACGTTGTCAGAATAAACGGTAATTGGATTTATGCCATGCTGACAATTTCGACACCTGGGCTGTTACTGTTATAGTGAGCATTCGTCAAATTTTAACAACGTACAAGACTTATTCCAATACATGTCAAAATAAAAACAAACAACGCACAAATAAAAAAAAAGCAAATTACCAGTTCACATGTATTGTGCATGTACGTAATATATTGATTCACGATATCGGAACAACGGTTTCATGAATATTTTGTTTGATTATTTATTTCAATTCATTAATTTATTCAATAGGTTTGTTTATAAATTCATTTGAGCTATACATCCTGATTTGCTTCAAACGTTTATCAATTTATTTGTGAAATAGAGTACAACCGATTACATTTTCACAACAGTGCTGATGAAACACGTGTAGTTCTAAGTACCCGGTGACGTGTTTCGGTCATTGGAATATAATATTGACACGTCTAGAAGTGAAACACGAGTGTTGATGTCAATATGTATTAAACCGTTGAATATTCTCTTTACAAATGATATGTTTACAAGCTAATAGTGCTTGGATGTTAGACAGTTAAATGAGAAAGAAGAAAACTGTGATATTGATGTGCCACACATAAATATGAACATGTAATAAAGTAAACCGCCGTCATATTGCTGGAATATTGCTGAGTGCGGCGTTAAACAAAAAAACAAAAACAAGACAGAATGTAAGAATGCAAGGTACGCCTGTACCCTGTGATCTAGGGTTCGAATCCCGGTGCACCCCCATTATGTTTCTAGGTTTGTCAGCACCATCCCCATGGTCGTGGGTTTCACCGAAGTTGTAAACGTCTGAGACCATCGACAATTGGGGCTTTCTTCTCACATCAGCTGATACGCCGTGATATAACTGGAATACTGATCAAAGCAGCGTTAACTCAACTCACTCACTCAGTGAATCGGACTTCTCCCTCACTTTACGGACTAGTGACATTTCCAGCCATGATCTTACTTACTTATTTACTTAAATTGGGAATGTAACGTGCGCTTTCCGACATATGCGTATTTCGCGCACGGGCCTGTCCGTGTATTTAGTGTTTGGTCGAAAAGGGTATTGTCATAGCGACTGATTTACGACACCCATTGTCTGAAGAACATTTAATTGCAAAGGCTTATTACCCTGGAGCCATGACATCTATATGCCTTGAAACACTTAATTGCTGTTATTTATAAGATGCTAATCCTAATTGTTAATCCCTGAACGAGATGTGCTATTATGTCACTGATGATTTACTGTTTACATTTATATTTATTACTTACTAAATGTCAGGTGACCTTGGCTATATAAACCTTGGTCAAGAAAATAGAGAAAAGAAAGGTCTTACCCTTAGCCTAGCTAGGGTTAGGCTGGGTGCCCCGGAGCACCTAGACAACCAACCACCACCACTATGTGCTGACCTGGCACATAGTGTCTTTTGTATGTATATATCTACATGTATAAAGTAAAACTGTAACTACCGCAAGCCATCGTCTCCAAGTTGTCACTTCCTACTGAGAACCATACGTCGGCCCCTTGCATATTCGAGTATGCAAATTATTCATTAATCAACGTCAGACCAACGCGTTGTTAGTATGTCTTTGATCTTGGCCTCGTTGTGGTATTTAATATGACCTGTGACCTTATTTCTAAGTAATTGAGGTTATCAGCTAATTGGTAAACATCTTAAACATTATAAAGTGACAGACCAGGTGTTTGATAGACTTGCCGGGACTACCAGTGTATCCGATGCTTGTCCCCCACTGAAGCAACATCCCCTGTAGAGAACAATAGGCTCCAGGTGACATGACGTGTCCCCGGTGAACACCTAAGGCAGAGTTACCGGTGTTGGAGACACCCACCAAGTACTTTTGTAACATTAGGTAAGCTTAATAACTACTTAACGACAAAAACAATGCCGTAGTAAGTAGTAAATCTTCCCTTCGAACGACGAAGAGCGACCAGATGCGGACTGACAGGATGTGTCATAAGTGTTCACACACACACCAACCTTTTCTGTCTTTCATCAATACAATTAAATAATGTATGCCTAAGGCACTTCACAGGACAGACTAGACTGTCTTCCAGACCCTAGAGAATAATGAATACTCAAGTCTGGAAAGATTCTGCAAGTCTAGAATGCCGCAGGTTGTTAGCATTGTTCTGGGCTTCATTCCGATTTTATTTTGTATTTTGTAGAGATATATTTTTAAATAAGATTTCGTTATTTCTGGGCCTGAGGCCTGTGTCTCCTTCCACCATGTCATGTGTTGTTTAACTTGTTAACACCCGATTTCAGTTGTAGATAATAGTATTTGTACTTGTAACACTGTTTGGAGAAGGATAAGCAGGGGGGGGGGGGGGGGCGTTTTTTCACGCAGATCGTTTTTTATACAAGTTTACAAATGCATGCATATTGTTGTTTATTCAACAGTTAACAAATTAAATGCATGCATATTGTTGTTTATTCAACAGTATACAAACGCACGCATAGTGTTGTACACAATAAGATTGAATACACATGGTTTCCTTAATATTGTGGTGAGAGGTCTAGGAGTTTTGATGGATATTCATGTTTACATTAGCTTACATTAGCTGTGGAATACGTTGTTGTACATATTGTACACTCATTTAAAGGATGTATTTATATCACTGCAGTACTAAGTGCTCGTTATTATGTTTACCTTTACTGTACTACATTGTTGACAGAAGCCACCTAGACTGTTTTCCAGGTCCTAGAAAATAAAAAAGAAATGAATTCAACTCAAGTCTAGAATGATTTGGCAGGTCTAGATTGCCTCAGCCCTAGGCAGAATTAAGAATTGTCATGGGCTCCATTTGTATTATATTAATTATTTTGTAGATATATAATTTTAAATAACATAACTTTATTCCTGGGAATAAATGTTAGTCTGAGGAGACGCCATGTTCGTGAAATATTGCCGAGAGTGGCTTTAGATTACCAGCAAACATGAACCCCTAAGATTTGTGCTTGATAATTCCTCTTGTTCAGTTTTTAATGATAATCGATCTGAATAGATTGATGGGTATCTTATCCTCATCAATTAATTTTGATCTAAACAATTGATAAACTATCTGCGAGTTAACAAATTGTCCATGTCAGCATTAATGGCTGCAAGTATTGACAGTTGTATTTTCTGTGTGTCCTGAATATCGCCTGGGCGGTGTTTATTGAGAGACGCGTCAGGTGTATATTTAGTGAGCAGGTGCTCTCTCAGGTAGACAGACCAACGTCAGCAAGCAGTACAGACATGTGGGTCTGCCCTACATATACCTTTCTATGTCACGCTAGAAGCCCAAATTAGACGTTTCCGGTATTAAGATATAATGATACATATATACATATAAAATATACATACACTAAACAAGTTCCATATCTAGGACTGTATCAGTTTACCGAAGTATTAGACTTTGCCCCCTGGCGTATATTCAGATGAACTGGACTGAGCGAGGGTACAGTATTTAGGTTGGTATGGCGACTAGCACTGTTGCTGCGTTAAATTTGCATGTACTAATCGTCAAATCCATTGGGTTTTTTCTCATAAGCCTTCCTAGACTGTATATATAGTTCTGATATATATTTTGTCACATTTTTAACAAACAATATATATTTTTTAAATTCACTCACTGACTAGGAGAAAACGGAACAATAATCTATCAACACTAAAGCTTGTCATCAACCGGGCTAATTAGCAGTTGTAGCTTTCCACTGTCCCTCCACAATGCAATGTTTAACGGGGACCGCTTATATCCCTGCTCTCGCACGGTCGATAGTGTACAAGCTACCCACGATAGTTTCTGGTCACGTGCGCGTTGAGTGTTGCCCTACCTTGGCGCCGACCGACGATCGTCCGCAACCAATACGATTCCTTTCTGTGACATATATATGCATGCTGGGGAAAACCCCAGTCTTCGGTGGCCTTCGCTCGGCCAACAAAAGCAGGCTCGTGCCAAATGAACTTCACACACTGTCCGAGCTTCACACGCTGCTGAGAGCTCAGGGCACTCGTTGAGAACGTGATAACGTAGCATTCACTGACCCAATAACCAGTCATTCTCGGCTAACTCTCGACAAGAGAAGGGAGAAGATATAGCTTATGTGCGAGTGTTCTGTTATTTCTTCACATTATCCAGGTAATATTTGTTGATTTTGTGATCTTAATGTTTGTTTCTTATAGTGTGTGTTTGTATGCCACTGATCTACCATGTTGTGGGGACTGGTAAGTCCTGGTCTATTTGTACAGTGGCGATATTTGAAACCTTTGTCTTCTAAGTTTGGTGTGTTTGAATGCCTTTTGAAGTTACACGTATGAATATATTTTGAGCACCGAATCACCGAGGAGACAGAAGTTATGGACATATATTTATGTGATTCGACGCATGTTTTATCGAATGTCGGAGAACGTGTTTCGCCTGTGTCAGCTGTCTTTCGAACAAATCGAACATTAGAACACATGGACGCAGCCTAGTTATGTTCTGTATATCAGCCGACCTTATCAGCTGTTAAGGAAATCAATAGGAGTCGACGCTTCAGCTGTAGATGTTTATTTGTTAAATGTCGCACACAGCAATATATGACGGCGGTCTGTAAATAATCGAGTGAGCAACTATTTACAGTATTAGGGTACGATGACACTCTATCAATGACGTCACCGATTACATGAAAACACACCCTGTATGTTCTCGCCGACAGTTGACCGAAATGTTCAGATTTTCAGTGAATCGAAATTTGCGCCTGAAGATCGGAAACGAGGGGATTTCGTTAATGTGGATTTGTAGTTTCAATTTGTGCTATTTATCACTCGCCGATCCTGACCACCATCCATTAAGTCGGCTCTTATGACACACATGGGTTGCTGGGGATCAGGTCTGGTCGAGTTTAGATGAATAAAAGGGTTAAAAGAACCTAATTCTTCCATACTGTTCAGAAATGGAGGGTCATTTTTCAGAGGGGACTACGCTAAAAATATAGATCCCAAGCAACATATGCTTGTCTCCCAGTTTGAATTCCGATTAAGACTTAAGGTCCCCAGCAACCTATGCTTGTCATTAGGGCTCAGTCACACATACAGGGTTTTTACTGTCGTCCTTTATAGGACCATTCCTGATTCAAATTTGTCAAAAGTCTGATCAAGATCCTGAGATTCGTGGCGGGAAATTCACAAACAATCAGATATTGTTCAGGAAGCGTCCCGATTCAGCCGTTTCCAGCCAAATTCGTCCCGATTCTCCCCTTCTCAATCCTAAACTGATCCGATTTGTATCTTCCGCATAGTAAAAAACGACCGAACCTGTCTCGACAGCGTCCCGAATGCGATCCGACAGAGATCAGACAGTGACCGGACAGTTAACCGACAAAGACGGTTCACATTCGGCAAGATCTGAACGCAACCTGGACTCAATCGACAAGAAACGGCAGTGAAATATTCCGTCCAGACAACAGAGGAAATTGTTACGATTTTGATCCGATACAGCAGAATCTGTCACGACATAGTCACGATTGTAATCCGACTAGACACAATCGGCTGCGTTTCCCGAATGTTACGGACGCACCACGGGAGTGCTTGGCCGACCTCTTTCGACCTTTCCCGATCCGTAGGACTCTGTTACGAACGTATACGACTGCGTTCAGGCAATGATAGGACATGCCGGATCATTGAGGATACTAATCCGACTTTTTCACTTTTCGTGTCGTAGGGCTGTCTGATCTCAAACGGGAGCCATAATCGGCACCGTGTGAACCTGGCCTTAGAGGCGACTACATGCATGATGGGTGTCGGCTGGGTTCGGTGACGTGGTTGATTGCGTGTCATCGTATCCCAATTGTGTGGATCCTTTGTGTTGTCAGTCACTGGATCATCTGGTCCAGCCTCGATTATTTACATGTAGCTTGAATACTGATGAGCGCGGCGTTAAACAATAAATATAATTTTCCAAAGGCTGATGCTCCTCTCTTCAATCAAAATGCTACGTTTAATGCTTTAATAACTGTTGGTATTATTACAGGTCTAGTATCTGAAGACGACCATGTCTGTCCCCACCACCAACAAGACGGTCCTTAACAAGTACCTGGACCTCCCACAGCCTGACGAGAAGGTCCAGGTCGAGTATATTTGGATCGATGGATCTGGAGAAGGGATCCGCGCTAAGTGCAGAACTCTCGACTTCAACCCCAAGAGCCCCGAAGGTCAGTTTTACATGCCATTATTGACGCCGTGAAACAGAAGAACAACATTCATTCATGTGCCCCGTGAGTGCTGGAATACCGCTAAAAATAGTGTAAAACCATGTACACGCTATCACTCAAAACAGGACCCGTGAAGATCCGGGGTAGAATAGGTCTTCGGCAACCCATGCTTGCCGTAAAAAGGCGACTATGCTTGTCTTATTAAAGATGCGACTAACGGAATCGGGTGGTCAGGCTCGCTGACTTGGTTGATGCATGTCATCGATCCCAATGACGTGGATCGATGCTCATGATGTCAATCACTGGATTGTCTGTTCCAGACTCGATTATTTACAGACCGCTGTAATAGAGCTGGAATATTGCTGAGTACGGCGTTAAACAACAAACAAACAAACAAACACCCAAGGCGTCCTATTTTGAATGCTAACAGGCCTCTAGAGTAGATGATGTCAGTGAACTAGGACAGTCCCTTTCCTCGATACTGTCCTGCTCACAGGTTGTATGTAGAACGCAGTAGTGCCTGGACTTCGCTCTCACGTGGAACATATGGCGGTTATCAACATCTGGTAGTTTGAACATCTGATCACATGTATTACGACAACTGGCCAAGGACGAGATAGGTACATAAATCCCAGATGTCATTCATGATGGATGCGTCTAGTGATTAAATCGCTATCTACACTATGTACCGTACCATACGCACACATTGTCCAGAAATACTTGTTTTCGGAATGTCGCGACTGCGCACGAATCAGGTATTTTTTTCGAAAAAGCGTCACAATATCTTGGCAGCCGCAACTGCTTCTCTCGTTAGTCCGGAAACCTGGTTTTCCGGGCGATTGCTGATGTGAACGTTTATGTCACTCCGCATCCGTTTTCATGAGTCCGGACTAATTCAATCGGAGCTGTACCGCCCAGACCCAAGAGAATAAATAAAAAATAAAAAGTCTAGGATGATTGGCAAGTAAAGATTGCCTCTGCTCTTGGAAGTTAAGCTTTGTTAGACAGACAGATAACTTTAATTCAGCGACTAAATGTTTAGTCTACGTCCAGAGAGAACTTGGGTCAAACGTAAGGACACGGGGACGCGGGAGATCACGTGTACAGAGGAAGGACTCATGTCTGAGAGCCTCAAGTTGCTGCTACGTGAGAGTATGTGGCACGGGGACATGTGGCGTGACGACTGCGGCTTGTAAACCACACCGAGCAAAGTCCACATGCCGAAACAGCTAATGTTTTATAAGAAGAATACATTCACACATCAGCGACTTGTAAATCATGCCTTGTTCGACTGCAGCTGACAGTTGCAATAAATTACCAGTGATTACATTAAGGTGATTGAGAGGATTTTATTTAGTGCACTTTGGAAGTAATTTAAGAGATTATGTGATGGTGCAATATATTACCAGTCAGTAGAGGCATGCTGCATTGAGGAGATACGTAATCTCATTGAATTCAGATTTTAGTTATCGCTGCCGCTAAACAAATAGATGGAACTAAGATTTGATTTTAATGAGATTGAGGAGATACGTGGCGAGGGTACTGGAGGCACGTTTTTCAACTTTGTGTAACGCCACACGTCTATATATATTTCTATATTTAAATGATACTTACTGATGAAAGAACACGGTGCGCTTTCCCGCCCCCGTACCAGGCACCAGATGTGACGTACACTGACCCACGTAACACACACTTGTATATCATGGACAGGTATCGAACAATCATTAAAAAAGTGTTTAAGTACTAGTATTACCTTGACAATCAAATATATCGACTGCACCGCTCGGTGTTTTACCTCAACCCAGTCACATTGCGGTACAAAGTGATTAAGTGAGTCAGGACAATCAACATCGCTTTGAACAGGGTTGTGGGCGGTGGAAGGCCGCGTTGTTATCGAAAGAATTAAATTGTCCCGAAAATTCTTAAACAACAAAATGATGCTTCTGACGTGGAAAAAAATAAATTGTCTTCCACAAAAATTACATTACTGCAAGGTATTTTACTTAAAAAGAAATTCAAGCTCATAATTTTAAACAAAAATGTCAGGTTTTCTAGATGTAGTTCAAAATATCTAAAATCGGTACAAAATAATCATGCCCGAAATCAGGGGAGATAACCCCCAAAGAACAACATCCCACCACTTCCACAATTTGAATTTTGAATTTTAGACAGCATTGTAAAGAGCGTTTTGAAATTAGCTCTTCAACACATGCATCTTTCAATTGCAGAATGCCCTGTGTGGAACTTCGATGGTTCAAGCACGGAACAGGCGGAGGGGCGTGACTCGGACCGCTATCTCCAGCCCGTAGCTATCTTCAAGGATCCCTTCAGACGCGGAAACAACAAACTCCTCATGTGTTCGGTGTACGACCACAAGTTCAAGCCTGTCAGTAAGTAGGACTCTCAGTTGTTCAGACCCCTAGGTTGGGGGACTAAATCTCATGGTTTGGCTCGGTTGACGTACATGTGTATGTGCTGAACAAAATAAGTTAGGGATCATGAATATTTTTTGGGATATAGTGTTTTTAATAGTGTTCGGTTCATATAAATATTTCATGATCCCTTACTTTTTTTGTTCAGTATATGTTGTCATGTTGACATTACTCGTGATCCGTGAAGATCCGGGGTAGAATAGGTCTTCAGCAACCCATGCTTGCCGTAACAGGCGACTACCTTCTGGTAAGAGTTGACTAACGGACTTGCTGACCTGGTTGATGCATGTCATCTTATCCCAATTGCGTAGATCGATGCTCATGATGGCAATCAATGGATTGTCTGGTCCAGACTCGATTATTCACAGACCGCTGTCATACAGCTGGAATATTGCTGAGTGTAGCGTTAAACGAACGACCAAACAGACAAACAACATCACTCCATAGATCAGGCCTTGGTTTGTCTGACCAGACTCCACTAGCCCTACAGGCTGCCATGATACGGACTGAATAGTGTTACTGCCGTGTAAAATACCATTCGCTCACTGAATGACTGTAGATACATATTTCTGGTGTAGAAGGGCGATGACATTGTCCCTTGATACCATTCCCTTCCTCTTCAGAAACCAACCTCCGACACACGTGCAAGGTTGTTATGGAGAAGGCGAAGGCGGAGGAACCCTGGTTTGGGATCGAGCAGGAATACACCCTGTTGGACTATGACAAGTACCCCTTCGGCTGGCCCAAGAAGGGCTTCCCCGGACCTCAAGGTACAGCAGGGTCAATGATGGACACATTCTGTTTCCCATTACTTTTCTCATTGTTTCCAAATGATTTCTCTTTGTTTCCCATGAATGTTTTCTTTGTTCCCATTAATTTTTTCATTGTTTCCCCTTCATTTGTTGCGGAGGTAACTGGAAACAAGAAGGTCCTTGTAAACCAAAGGATTGATAAGGACGTTTTCGAACTCACGAGTGTTAACACGTTTTCTAACCTTGTGTGTCAAAATCGGTGGAAATGCCTTTGTCTCATCAGTATCCTTTAAACTCGTGAACGTGACCTTCACATAAGATGAAGCGCCTGTGATCACCTATCTGTGATCCTCCCTCTGTGACGTGTGTATCATGTTCCAGGTCCCTACTACTGCGGGGTTGGAGCCAACAAGGTGTACGGCCGTGACATCGTGGAGGCTCACTACAGGGCGTGTCTGTATGCGGGGATCGAGATCGCAGGGTGTAATGCAGAGGTCATGCCGGCTCAGGTACGTTCTGAATGAAGAAATCCATTACAGAAATCCTTTCCGTTTTCCATGTCCCGGAATGACAAGATGGAATCTGATTGATGACAAGGACGGCGTTGTGAAGTCAGTTGTATGATCATCGTATCATGATTTGTTTGTTTGTTGTTTAACGCCGCTCTCGGCAATATTCCAGCTATATGACGGCGGTATGTAAATAATCGAGTCTGAACCCGACAATCCAGTGATTGACATCATCAGCATCGATCCACGCCAATGAGATACGACGACATGCATCAAACAGTCAGCGAGCCTGACCAACCGATCCCGCAAGCATGGGTTACCCTGTATCTTAACATGTCGATCATCTTATGAATCATTGACATCCGATTATATTAATTATTACATCGTTTATAATTAATTTTTCCACACGCTGTTGATATTACGGATAGCGTTCTACTGTTATCAGTTACAAAGATAGACTTTCCTGGTCGGTTATCAACATTTTGGGCCCTGTAAAGGTTGTCCTATTTAACATAGAATCTGACCTTGTTACTTCCCAAACTTTGAGCGAGAGAGCTAATTGGGGCACTGTTAAGGTTGTCTTGTTTATTATCTTGCCTAACAACCATGCTTCACCACTTCCATTGGGAGGTCCAAGTGGGGCCCTGTTAAGGTTGTCCTACTTTTAGTCCTGTCTAACCATATGTTTCACCACCTTCCAGTGGGAGTTCCAAGTGGGGCCCTGTCTGGGTATATCCATGGGAGATCACCTCTGGGTGGCCAGGTACCTCCTACACAGAGTGGCTGAAGACTTTGGCGTCATTGTCACCTTTGACCCCAAGCCAATGAGCGGCGACTGGAACGGTGCAGGCGCTCACACCAACTACAGCACCAAGTCAATGAGAGAAGATGGTGGCTTGAAGTGAGTGCATCTCGTTGTTGCCTGGATGTCTGGACATTGTATAATTAGATATAAATATATAAGTTAAATGCTCCAGAAATAAATGATGACACGTTCGAAGTAGCTATGAATAAATAGTATAGGTCATATGGAAAAACCCCGCTCCTTTGGTACCTGGTCGAGCGAAGCTGTCAACCGATCACGTGATCAATACACACCTTCTGAGACTATAATTATCCAACTTGAAACTTGAGTGAGTGAGTTTGGTTTTACGCCGCATTTTAACAGTATTCTAGCGACATCCGCGGGGGACACCAGAAATGGGCTTCACATATTGTACCCATGTTGGGAATCGAACTTGGGCTTTCGGAGTGACGAGCGAACGCTTTAACCACTAGGCTATGCCACTGCCCCGTATTTTTAAAGATGTATTGGCATCGTATATAGTAATAAACTACAGTAACAGTAACTGTCTGTTAAGAGGACTGCTTCTCAGGTCCCCAGCCCGGGCCTTCGGCTAGATGTTGCCACTTTGATTTTTATGTTTTAAAAATTATTATTTCATTCGAGATTGAGTTCTTATATTCCATATACTGTCAATTAGCCCCCCTGTTTGCGACCCTATTTGTGATAGATGACAATGAATAAGCTATTCAACATCGTACTTACAGGGGCGGTCGGGTAGCCTGGTGGTTAAGCGTTCGCTCGTCACGACGAAGACCCGGGTTCGATTCCCGACAAGGGTACAACGTGTGAAGCCATTTTGTGGTGTCCCCCGCCGTGATGTTGCTGGAATATTGCTAAAAGCGGCGTAAAACCTCACTCACTCATACTAAGAAATAATTTCATATTCATTTATATGCATTTGTTGTTTTCAGGTTCATTGAAGACGCCATTGACAAGATGGCACCTCGGCACGCCGACCACATTGTCGTGTACGACCCCAGAGGGGGCAAGGACAACGAGAGACGTCTCACGGGAAAACACGAGACGTCGTCCATTCATGACTTCTCTGCAGGTGTGGCTAACCGCGGAGCTAGTGTGAGAATTCCCCGCCAGGTGGCGGAAGAGGGAAAGGGTTACCTTGAAGACAGACGTCCTTCTTCCAACTGTGACCCCTACGCAGTCACAGAAGCACTTGTGAAAACGACCATCTTGGACGAACCTTTGTTCTAGAAGGAACGTACTTCTTGTATATACCACATACATTCATCGTATTTGGGAATACCTGCCTATGCATGGTCGTGGAGGCGGACGGTTTCTCTACCATGTACACGGGATCACCTGAATCATTGGATATCTCCCCTGTATCAAGTTGGGTTAGAAGACGTTAACATAGGCCGCACATCTTGTATATGTCAGTAGAGTGCTCGGGTGTTGACAGCGGGTGACTGCAACCGTTGAGATCTGAAACAAGGACGTGGATTTGATAATATATTGTAAATATTCTAGCCATGGAATACGTTTCCGACTGTGCGGGCCCCGTTGCACAAAGTGATCGTATGACTTCGCAAGTCTGTGTTAAAGTATTGAGTTACGATTGTCTCAGCGTTAAGATTGTCGTACGTCAATGTTAAAGTATTGAGTTACGATCGTCTTAGCGCTACGATCGCTTTGTGGAACTGGGCCTTGTCCAATATACACGGGAAGTTTATCATCTTGCTTTTAGTAAGCATAGGGGCGGTGGTAACGGCAGCCTATGCATTGAGAAGCAATGACTACTCACCAGACAAAACATGTTTTATGACTATATATTTAGAATGCATACGTTTCCTTGTTTCCTTGTGATAACTTTCATGTTTCATTACCATGTTGTTATGTACATAGCTACCTTCACTCTGTGTCATACGAGTCGTATTGACTCAGTGAACTGTCTTTCACGTTGTATGTATTTATGTGAATGAAATAACCAATGGGGGTAGGGGTGGGGGGATATGTGTGACCGCTCGTGTTATTCCGGAACGTTGTCGGAAAACGCGAGTGATGACCCATGTGACATGTTCTGCCCTCGGTTGCGTCGATCGAGGAGAAAACTGAAGCCACCTTTATAGAACTATGTGCCAAGCTTCCTCTTTTAATGGACAAGAGAGATAAGCAGGTACATCTACAAAATGCTAACAAGTGTTAATTCTGATGAAGTACTGCAAAATGGCATCACAAAGACCGAGAACGTTGTCCCCGGGGTTCCAACCCTGGGTATCCGCATCATCATCAAGTTTTGACGTAATACGGTTCGAAATGAAATTATCATGGACGGATAGTCTAAAGACTTCGAGTCGATCTATGGGTAGCTATTTTCTGCCTGGTATAATACTTAGAAGTAAATGTCACGTCTCACCTTCATTGTAAATTCTTCATTGGGTTCATTTATTTATGCACATGTACGCAAAAGCCAGTCTATTTAATATCTCAACGATCAATGTTTCAGATATTTTGCTGACATTCAGCAATGTAATGGACAATAAAGTCGTTTTGAACAGGAACATGACCCCTTGTGTGTGACTTCCACCCTAAACATCCCCTAAAGACTCCAGGCTTACACTGCATGAAGCAGTTTGTCAGTGCTTCAACAATACCACGTGGGGGAGCATCAAGCATGTGCCTCACCCACTGAGCTAGGAATCGAACCTGATATTTCGGCCCTGTGGTGCCTGCTAAGGCTTTGGTGCTTCACCTGTCCAGCCAGATTCACACTGAACTAAGGGTCGTACAGTGGACAGCGTCTGTCCGGAGAGAGAAGGTCGGGTTTGATCCCCGGCCGAGTCATACCAAAATATGTAAAAAGATGGTACTTGTTACTCTGCCAGACGCTCGGCATTATGGGGATAAACCATTGACTGGCCGGCTCGGAGTCACTCTACTGTTCTGAGTGGGATATTCATGTTAAACTGCGACATGGTATCTCAGTAGGCTAGCAATATAAAACTTGCATTATTCCGGTCTAGAACATGCGCGCGCACACACACACACACACACACACACACACACACGCTCCGTTAAACCCAATTTCACCTCGGCTGTAACTAAGGGACAGAGGTGTCCATAGCAAAAAAAACGGTATTATTAAGTGGTATCCATAGCAACCAGACGTTGTTAATGACACTTCGGATGATATAGACCAAATCGACCAATTGTCGTGAGCCTTACGGGTGTTTTAATGCATAATTATCAATAACTGACCGGATGTGACGTCATCAGACTTTGCACCGAGCCAGTAGGTCACCTATGCAAATGCAAATATTTGTACAAGTATCACTTGTCCCCGGCTGGGTACGGCACTGATGTTACATCGACATTGCCACATAATCCCTTTCCCTACACCCCCACCCCACCCCCCACTGGATGCTGAGCACATCGAGGTACGGGGGTCAAGGTTCCCTCGCGGAAACAATTACCACGCACCTGCCATGCACAGAACACGAACAGCATCGGAAAGTTTAACTCGCGATCGGTGACTATTCGTCTTGTTTCGGTTACAGGAAAGGGCGAGTGATGTAGAATGGGAAATGGCAGTGCAGTGGTCTATTTATGTCCCCAGTAAACCGGTTCCGTTATGTCAATCCGACCAGACACGATGTTAAGCAAGCAATTTAGTGAGATGCATTTGTTTAATGTCTTATGTCCAGATTATGTCGTCTATCTTGTTCACTTCGCAGTACATGCACGTATGGCTAGACTAACTCAAGCTCTCGAAATTGAGATATAATTTCAACAGAAACAAACAGGTCCAGTTAAATTGAAAAGGAGTTCCATGGAGTTGTGAGATTCTGTTCCTGAACCTGTGGAAAATCTAGACTTGCTTCATTTGGGGTCACAGCATGACAGTGAGGGTGGGGCGGAAGGGAAAATAATAAGGTTCGGGGACTCGGAGACAGACTAACGTATGGCATACAAGGGCGGCGGATTAACAGCAGTGAAAGCCTGTGAACACGGACCGTGTGACCTTCTGATTTCGTCCTGTAACTGCCGTGGCAGACATGAAATTGGATTGTAATTTCGGCAGTGTTGACAGTTTCCTCTATAGAGAAAGGCCAGCACACGAAGCAAGGTATTCTGTCTTACAGACCCTGATACACATATATCAAATACAGTCCATGCAAGTCTATAATGTTTGGCAAGTCTAGATTACTGCAGTATCAGGAAATGAAGAGAGTATCTGGGCTCCTTTTTATTAATTTTTTATTAAGATAATTTAACAACTGTTTTTTTGTACGATAGGTTCATTTCAGAGACTAGATGTCAGTCTAGAAACTGGGGGTAGCCCAGTGTTTAAACTGTTCGTTTCTTGTACCTCATCGTGTACGTAATTGTTGGAATAAAACCCCTACTCACCAAGTCATCCAACTTGACACAATGAATAAAAGTACATGACTTCGAGACAACCAGTCCTAAATGCGGTGCGCCCCACAGGGTAACAACAAGTACCATTATTTGGAATGACGTGGCCGGGGATCGAACCCCAGACCTGCTTTCTCGGCAGACCACGGGGGCGGTCCTACTGGTCGTAACCGTTGAAAGCTGGCTATCGTACCCCGATGGATGGGACGTTGTTCGGGATATCAATCTCTAGGTTATAAACAGGGCGCTGACGTATCAACGTTATATGCTGACATCGGCGTTGAAAAAGCTATACACGTGATAAAACAACAACACACAAACACTTTATTTACCAGTTGTGTGCTAGCTGACACCATTCTCCTCTCGGGTCGTGGCAGTGGTAAGTGCTAGTGTATACATGACTCATTTGCATAGCGCAGCCTGTACCGAGAAGCAATTACCCCCAGTGCAAGATCTAGGTCAATCCCCCATGTGACCAGCATGACATATGGAAGAGAGATTCCGGAAAGTCGGTAAAATGCTCCCATTTCCTTTCTCAGGAGATCATGTGATCTGCAATAACACGAGCCGTGCGGGTCACGTGCCGTTGTCTATTGTTTCTCACAGTCATCATCACACACGGGTGGTTGTGTCATCATTTCCCGATCAGTCATTCAATTGATCTAATTCAAGCATGTAAGAGGTCACATGTTTAAAGTACATATCCTATTAAGTACATAGACTCACGCTTAGTCCCTGAAAATATATGATTTTTGATAGAAACAAGCTTCTGCGTTTTCATTGAAAAGGAACCCCAGTAAAGTGGGATATTCAGAACCTGTGAAAAATTTAGATTTGCTATATTTAGGGATATAGCATCACTGTTAGCCTTGCTCCAAGGCTGTACTGAATGTTAAGTCCATTGGTGTATAGTAATTCTATCCTTATAATTATCTCTCATAGCGACAGTCGGTTCTTATTATTTATATAATCAAGCAATTATGATTTTAATTAATAACTATTGTTTTAGGGACTTGTGCAAGTCTACATCACAGTAAGGGCTGGGTGGAAGGGAAAATAATATGTCCCAGGGACTTGTTAGACTAACATTAAGTCTATGAAATCTTATATTACACAATATCCTTCTTGACTCTAAAAATAAAATAAAATATTTCCTTCTGCTGATTTCATATGTGGAACAGAGCTAGCTAGAGCTGGTTAGACTTGCTTGTGATAGTGTTTTTTTCCCCATAAAATAAATATATTCCTCAGTCATGGTGCAGGACTAGGACTTTGTTTGTTTGTTTGTTGTTTAACGCCACACACAGCAATATTCCAGCTATATGACGGCGCTCTGTTAATAATCGAGTCTTGACCAGACAATCTAGTGATTGACATCATGAGCATCGATCCACGCAATTGGGATATGATGACATGCATCAACCAAGTCAGCGAGCCTGACCACCCGATCCCGTTAGTGAGACAGACTGAGGTCTTGCATACAATTTTAACCATCATTTACAAGTTGGGTGATTCAAGGACATACTTTGTGTTATTAATTCATCTTTACTATTTCACAAATGTCGGAATTTCACAATATTTGGATCATTTAAGTAATATTCAGGAATATATGTTATCCTCGCAGGGGTGCAATGACATACAATTAAAACGTGATTTTCGTCCTCGACAGCGTGGCTGTTACACATTTTACATAATCGTTCTGGCCTTGGAGGCTCTGTATATTTCCTTATACTTATATCAAACAGACACTGTTCGGTAAACTATATATATTACATAGATACGTCATTTATGAAGACATAGACCTGTACATCTAACCAAGACATATACAAACGGGTCTTCTGTGGGACATTTTCCCAATGACTGGTATAATTTGTATGGATGCTATCATTTATATATAATATTTATTTGGTGTGTCAATTCAAATTGTAACTTTTCATCAGCAACAGGGTTATTTGGATATTTCCTGTTTCGGGTTCTGCATGACAGACTACGCGAATTTATAGAAATATTACTGCTCTGTCGGCCTCTAATACTGGTCACACACTCACTGATACTCTTAAGTCACACAGATGGCCCACTCCTGCACGTGGGGTTCACCAAAGTGCTAAAGACCTGCATCACCTCGGGCTTTCCTCTCACATTAGGATGACACGCCGTGATATAACTGGAAAACTTTACAAAGTTGCGTTATATCCAGCTCACACACTCACTCACTCACTCACTCACTCACTCACTCACAGATGGCCCATTGGTTCAAGTCGCTGTTTTTCCGCTGTTCAAGGGTTGGTTCCTCAATCAATGATGGAGGTTCGAAGTCTTGGTTTGTCTTCACGTACATACGTGGTATACTGGTAAACCTGAGCAGACAGGTTATGTAACGAAAACATTATTCAGAGCAGCATTGTATTCAACTCACCTACTGCCTTAGAATCCAGATGAAGTCTTTTGATGCGATGAAATACCATTCATTCATTATTTTGTTTTCGAAAACATTTAGATCTGTTCGATTGAAGCCTAAGTGAAATCGGTTACTGTGTGATGGCCTGTTGAAGCCTAAGTGAAATCGGTTACTGTGTGATGGCCTGTTGAAGCCTAAGTGAAATCGGTTACTGTGTGATGGCCTGTTGAAGCCTAAGTGAAATCGGTTACTGTGTGATGGCCTGTTGAAGCCTATGTGAAATCGGTTACTGTATAGGGGGGGGACCTGTTGAAGCCTAAGTGAAATCGGTTACGGTGTGATGGCCTGTTGAAGCCTAAGTGAAATCGGTTACTGTGTGGTGGCCTGTTGAAGCCTAAGTGAAATCGGTTACTGTATAGGGGGGGGACCTGTTGAAGCCTAAGTGAAATCGGTTACTATGTGATGGCCTGTTGAAGCCTAACTGAAATCGGTTACTGTATAGGGGGGACCTGTTGAAGCCTAAGTGAAATCGGTTACTATGTGATGGCCTGTTGAAGCCTAAGTGAAATCGGTTACTGTATAGGGGGGGGGACCTGTTGAAGCCTAAGTGAAATCGGTTACTATGTGATGGCCTGTTGAAGCCTAACTGAAATCGGTTACTGTATAGGGGGGACCTGTTGAAGCCTAAGTGAAATCGGTTACTGTGTGATGGCCTGTTGAAGCCTAAGTGAAATCGGTTACTATGTG